AAAAAAAACCACCAGCCACAACCTTTTAAATGTTAAGGGCAGACTATAAGTCTAAGATATTTTTGTTAAATTCTGACAAGAAAAAGAAACAGCATCCTTTAAAATATACTGAAGCAGTGATTTTTAAACAAAGAAAGCAGAACTAGAACATCTTAATTTTTTATTCCTTTTTTTACAGGTTACCTAGACCACTTTTGATTAAGAAAGCTGTAGAAAGTTAGTAACAGCCACAAGTTAACACTAAAAGGTGGCACTTGTCAATTTTCCATACAGCCCTGCTTTGTGGTATGTCTGAAATGCACTGCTCCAGATCTTCTATCACACGTTGCTGACATCAACTTTGTCAGATTTTAGTCCACTGGTCGCTTTTCACCATATTTCTTTGTAAACTCTTCAGCGTTCTTACAGAATTTTTTACGGTCCTTAGAGTATTCTTCAGCTAGATCAGCCCGAAGAGGGTGCTCAGGCTGTGGGTCATTCACCAGTGCTATGAGGGACTGGATTACTGTTAAAAGAAATACAAGTATTGTCAGTGGCTTGAACATTTAATTTTTAAATAGCTGAAATGTAAGTGATGCATTAAAAGTAAGAGTTTAAATGGTGTTAAAAATGTCCCTATGAAGGGGGAGAGGTAGATACGTGGGAGGGTAGGGATAGGGTCCAGAGTGACCTAGACAAATTGAAGGATTGTGCCAACAAGGACAAGTGTAGAGTCCTGCACTTGGGACGGAAGAATCCCAAGCATTGGTACAGGCTGGGGACCGACTGGCTAAGTAGTAGTTCAGCAGAAAATGATCTGGGGATGACAGTGGATGAGAAGCTGGATATGAGTCAACAGTGTGACCTTGTAGCCAAGAAGGCTAATGGCATATTAGGTTGCATTAGGAGGAGCATTGCCAGCAGATCCAGAGATGTCATTATTCCCCTTTATTCAGCTCTGGTGAGGCCACATCTGAAATATTGCGTCCAGTTCTGGGCCCCCCACTATAGTAAGGATGTGGACGCATTGCAGAGAGTCCAGTGGAGGGTGACCAAAATGATTAGGGGGCTGGAGCACATGACCTTTGAGGAGCGACTGAGGGATGTGGTGTATGAAGGCACGGACTGGAGGTTCCAAAGAGGCTGGCGAGAGGCTGTTCTCAGTAGTGACAGATGGCAGAACAAGGAGCAATGGTCTCAAGTTGCAGTGGGGGAGGTCTACGTTAGGTATTAGGAAAAACTATTTCCCTAGGAGTGTGGAGAAGCACTGGAATGGGTTTCCCTAGGGAGGGGGTGGAGTCTCCATCCCTAGAGGTGTTTAAGTCCCAGCTGGACAAAGCCCTGGCTGGGTTGATTTAGTTGGGGTTGGTCCTGCTTTGGGCAGGGGGCTGGACTTGATGACTCCTGAGGTCTCTCCCAGCCCTAGGATTCTAAATCTGTATGATTTCCAAAGGCAAACCAATACATTGATAAACTAGTACATAGCAACTGGACACAGTTCAAAATTTTAGTTCAGTAATGATTCTGAATTAACATTCATCTCAAGAAGGAAAAATTGGAAGTTCACATTAGAAAACTAATAGACAAATCCCATACAGTTCAAACTGGACTCCAGATTTTCTGGCTAGGTAACTGGCGTGGCACTCAAATGATGGACTTGGCATACTGCTGTGAAATCTAATACTACTTTTTTTATGTTCCTTTGGCCATTAGAAACTAATTAGCTAAACTGACAGGGTGCAGCAATTACAAATTTTCAAACTCTACTATGTGCAGTCAGTAAAAGGAATACGCATAAATGGAAAGTAGATTATTGGTGATAAATATCTCAGATCTACAGAAACTAGATGTGTGGAAAAAAAAAAAAAGTTTGTCGTCTGATGCTCATTCACAGGGCTTGACAAACCCTGGCGAGAGCCACTCGCCAGACCGACACTGCGCATGCGTGAAGCGCCAGTGAATGGGGTGCTCGGAGCGACCGGCTGAAATCTACTCGCCCGTGGTGAGTAGATTCAGCGGTTTGTCGAGCCCTGTTCATTCATAATACCCTAATACCAGTCCAATTTAGGGGTCTCAAACAATATACAACATTGCCCCCACGCTTTTCAGGCAACTATGCCAAAACTTCAATAATTTAATATTTTCCAGATTGGTAACCAGCTGCCATATGGAATGGAAAGCAGCTCTCTGGAATGTCTGGTTATAAAAATTATATAAAGGAAGATTCCTTCCCTCAACACCACAGTTGCTAGATAAATATAGTACTTGTATAATAGGGTAAAAGGTAAGGATGTTAAAATGTGATCATCTGGCTAATTGTATAGTCGATACAATTTCTATCGACCATACAATTAATCGATAAGCGCCGCTCTGCAGAGCCACAGCAGGGGTAGCTCCAGGAGCTGACTCAAGCCGGGACTGAGCAGTCCTGGCTCCTGCCGGCTCCCGAGCCGCCCCCGCCGCGGG